GAATCATGTATAATGCTTTCCTATGGGCTTTACGTGATGCTGGATTTCCTCACAGCCACTAGACGTGGAGTTAACCCTCAAAGGTAATTATTGCAGTTTTTTTAAGATTTGCAATAATTATGGTTGCAGGGTTAAGGGACATGTGACACTGAGCTGAAGTGGCCTGGGTCCCTACAGTGTCACTTTAATGTTATCAGACATGCCTTCAGTGTTATTGTGTTATATGCCCAAGGGATTTTATTAACTTCCATCTCAAATTCTGGCCCAAACATTGTTTGAACAATAGCACATGAGGATTCCGTAATGGTAATGTTGGCAATAGTATGTGGTTACTTGTTTTTGGCAATTGTTTGAGCAACCAAGTAACTTGTCTTTTGAGCTTTCTCTGATATTTTCGTTCTCTTTGTGAATGATGCAGACTGCTTATTTATAGATTTTGAAAGCTCAATAAAGTATTCTACTGGTGTGTCTGACAAATGACTGAGTTTTGAGGTAAAATTACACTGTAATTAGTTTGGTACCATACTTTCATTTGCAAGTATATTCCCACAAACTAATCACTGGTGACAAGGGTTGTTTTCACTACCAGAAAATATTAACCCTAGTTGTACAAACAAGGCTTGGTAATTTTTCCTTTACACTTCTTACATACTAATACACAGTATTAACACTTACATCAATTAGCTAACCATATCTTTACACATGGGTATGCTGGGCAGTTCCCTGGTGCCCCTCAGCAATGCCCATGTGCACAGGCATTGAATATATATATACAATATACACTGAACAAAATTATAAATGCAACACTTTTGTTTTTGCCCCCATTTTTCATGAGCTAAACTCAAAGACTTTTTCTATGTACACAAAAGGCCTATCTATCTCAAATATTGTTCACAAATCTGTCTAAATCTGCGTTAGTGAGAACTTCTCCTTTGCCGAGATAATACATCCACCTCACAGGTGTGGCATATCAAGATGCTGATTACACATCATGATTATTGCAAAGGTGTGCCTTAGGCTAGACAAAATAATCATGCTGTCTAACTAGCATAATTGGGTTGAGTTGATATCTAATTTAAATCGCAGTATAAAAAAACTAGTATAGCATAAAGCTATTTGAGAAGTTTATATACAATACCAATCACCCTATGCAGTAGCCAGGGACCATTCCTTTGTCATTCATCAAATCTAGCTTTGGGTGTGGCTGAATTGGGAAGTAGGATCCTCACTTCTGTAACAGATGCAGGTCTGCTTCTACCATAGGCACAGAGTGAATCGTACCATTTCTCTGAATAAAAAGCATTGCCAGAAAGCCCCACCAGTATGAAATAGAGTGGAGAGTAGTAATAAGTGGAGACAGTGACCTGTGAAACTAAGGGGTCAAGGCAGAGAGGGCATCTAATATAGTAATGTGTCTGTATTTATCTGGAAGCGTTTGGCACTTACAGGCCTCATTAACTTTTCTTTCACATGAAAGAAGTGTATCCTCGTTATCACATATTTAGGTGTAGTAAAAGGGAAAGTGTTGAGGACTTTGAACACAATAAACCCTATCCACCAGCAGCTCATTAGGGTGAACCGTGAGTATAAATTCCTGGAAGAAATCCTGTAGGTAGATATGTAGCTCTATGGTGGACACCATCTCTGGGATTCTCCAAAAACAGAGTCTATTTCTCCTGGATCTATCCTCTGCATCGGACAGCTTTATCCTAAAGTAATCCAAAGTGGCTTAGATTTTCTGAAGCTTTTCAGCTAGCCTATTGTGTTTCAGCTTAATATGATTGGTCCTCTCACACAGATTTCCTTGTATAACTTACCAGCCAAAGTCTTAAGTTGGCTTGTAATTGAAGCTTGAAATGTCTTGGACAGGTCAGCCGGCAAGGTTCTGATTTCTGAGGAGGTATCAGACCAGTCCTCAGCCAACAGGAATACTGGCAATCCCCCTCTGCTCCTCTGTAATGTAGTGGAGGCAGTCTGGCACTTCTGGACTGCACTTCTGTTGGCAGCAGACCATAAATAGCTGTCTTCCTAGCTCCGGTTAATCAGAGCACTGCCGCAGATTACCAGAGGACACTGCAAGTCCCTGAGCTTGCGGGACAGTTACGCATGGCCTGTACCCAGTGGCAGACCAGATTCAGATCAGCATGCCCCTCTCCCAACTAGGTAACAACAGGAAAGGCGGAATGACTGTTTGTATTTAAATCATTATTAATGATGGTGTGAGGGAAAGGGGGTGATGGGGAGCGGGGGGACGGACTAAATACCTTCTTTTATTCCCTGGTGGTCCAATGTGGGCTGCCTGGTGGTCCGGTGGCCATAACATCCAGAGCTGCAGACCATGTATCTCGCGAGACCCGCCAGAGCATTGCCATGGTAATCCATGCTGTTAGGGCCATCCGATGGAGATGAATTTTCAGGGGGCCCGGTCAGCGCTGGGCACTTTAACAGCGTGACCGGGCCCCCTGTAATGACATCACTGCCGGGAAGAAGTGACTGCCCTGGTCACTCCTCCCAGCAATCACACAGAGCCCGCAACTCCCACCAGCCTGAGCCACCACTGGACCCCAGGGAATGTCACCCTCCTGCACCTAAAAGGTAGGAAACAGGAGGGTGACAAAAATATTTTCTATATGTGTGTGTTTGTTTGTCTGTGTGTGTGTCTGTCTGTGTGTGTGTCTGTCTGTTTGTTTATATGTATGTATGTGTCTTTGTATGTATGTGTGTATGTGTCTGTGTGTATGTCTGTCTGTCTGTATTTGTGTGTCTATGTGTATGTGTGTGTCTATGTGTGTGTCTGTATGTATGTATGTATGTATGTGTCTGTATGTATCTGCTATATGTGTGTATGTTTGTGTGTCTCTATGTATGTATGGGTGTATGTATGTGTGTCTGTATGTATGTGTATGTGTATGTGTGTGTGTGTGTGTCTGTCGGGGGACATGATAAAGGGGGGGATTGTGGAAGGGAAGGAGGTTGGTGTACGCCACTGCCCCAACCAGTGTAAGGCCTTAGGCAGCCATCTAAACTGCCTAATTAGAGAGCTGCCTCTGGCAGTGTGTGTATAGTGGATGCAGTATGTGTTTGTAAAATGAATGCAGTGCAAGTACAGTGGATGCAGTGTGGTGGAAGAAGTGTGTGTATGTAAAATTGGACATAGTGTGTGTGTAAAGTGGATACAGTATGTGTGTGAAGTGAATGCATTGTTTGTGTAGGGGATATAGTGTGTGTGTACATAGTGGATGCAGTGTGTGTATATGGTGCAGTGTGTGTAAAGGGGATGCAGTGTGCATAAATTGGATGCAGTGCCTGGGGTAGCACAAATAAGTTGTGTAGTAGAGTGCTCTATAGCATGTGTGCTGTTCTCAACTGTGAAGAACAGAGCTACGTAGCACATTTGGTTGGACAGAATTTTTTATTTTTTTATATGTTTTTGTTGTGCATTATACAGCATACAAGCTTGATTAGACATTTCACAGAAGTATATATGAAACCAGGGGGCTGCACTCACTGTAACATGCATAAATGGGGTGCTGCTGGGGCCAATTCATACAATACACAAGATCCAGCGCACTCACTCATCCACTAAACAGCAACTTCACAGATTTTATTAGTTGTTTTTTTTAAACACCTAATCTAGGCAAAAATAATGGGGGTTTAGTTACAGTATATGATCATCCAATGCATAGGCCTGCCACAACGTCAATGTACCCCATCTTTGCCAGGTCCTACTCTAACAGTTTAATTTCTGCTCTTATGAGATTAACACACTTACTTAGGGGGAAAAAATTCCATCTCTGCTCTCTGCAGTGCAAGGCTAAATAGGGCCGTGTGATGAGGCACCTGTAACAGGGAGGGGTGCAAAACCAAAGAGTTTGCCTGAGTCCCAAATATATATATATATATATATATATATATATATATATATATATTAACAGAAGTATACATGACTAAATATAAGGATGTAGGTTTGAAAAAAGATGTCACAGATAGATACTGCACTTTTTATAGTTATTGCAAAAAGACAACAGAAGCACAATTCTAGTAAATTAACTGAAAGAGAATGAGAAAACATTAGAACTGTAGATAGTTGCAAGATGTAAGTACCACTGGGCAAATAGGTTAAACAGCAGCAGTTGATCAGATGGGGCATTGTCACGGAGTATAAACAGCTTAAACCTGCCTAACATGGACAGCAAGATCTACACTTTTAATGGTAAAGCTTAATGGGGGCTTACAGCCCAAGATAATCTTAAAACTATCAATAATGCATTTCAGCAGTGATAGTAGCACAAGCTACTGTAAATTTACCTGTCCCCCGTGAGAGACCCCCAACCCACTTCGACTTCCAAGGAGCTCATCAGGAAATCAGTGCAAAAGTCCTAGCACACAGACAAAAAAACAAGCGTAAAATGCACACATTAAAAAAGGGGAGAATACTTCCTGAAGGGTGCTTCAGAAAAGGAGGGCCAAGCCCTGAAGACATCAAATGGAAGAAAAGAAATATCTGAAATGTCTCCACTTCCTTGTTTTAAATAAAAGCACTTTCTTTTAGAAGAAGCCTCTGGTGTGCCTGGATATTTTTTTTCTCAGATCCTACCAGTGTGGACTGGGATACCCCTGTCGGTCCACAGGGAAGGGAAACAGGACCAGACGATTAAAGCTTCAGGAGCTATTGCAGTTGTCCACTGCGCCTCTGCCCTGAGTAGGCCTCAATTCTACATGTCATCTTCTGGAACTTAGGAGCACTTGTCTCAGGGCACAATTGCAGCCCAGGTAGTCACTTTTGTTACAATCAGGAATTATGTTAGCTCAGTTATCTCAGTGTGGTCATCGAATAAAGGCCAGAACTGTCAGGAGCTGGCCCCCGGACAGAAACATTTTAAACAAATAGTTTACCAAATAATGTTGCACATATTGTAAGTAGTAAAAGTCAGTATAGTAAAAGCTACAGATAGTATTTTAAATAAATACCAATCCTGAATATTAACATAAATGTTCCCCTCATATTCTATAATCCTCACGCATATGTATTCTTTCATTTGTACTTATCTTTCATTAATATATAAATAGTAGTCGGGGCAATATAGCCGTACACAGAAATATAGCATATTATAACCATACTGTAACGGACCGTTTGGCACATAAGCGGTTAAAAACCGTTTAGGCGATATTCCCCTTTCAGATGCACAGACAGCTACTGCAATCACCAATCTCCCGAACTGCAAACTACACGAATTCTCCAAATCCCGAACAGGAAACTCACGAATACTGGAAACAGCTGAACAGGAAAAACCATACGAAAGGTTTACACTCCTGGCAGTCAGCATACAATCCAATTCCCCCAATAACGAGACGACACTTTGTTTGAGTGTTAAGCAGAATCTGCCAGAGCTGTGGGTTTATTGTGGGTTTATTGTTCTTATGTACACATTCTTACACAAAAACCACAGGGTTTTGGAAAACAACCAATAAACATGTACAATACACTCAGACACTCCCACACAAAATCCTCCCCTCTGCCTGTGATACAATTACCTTACACAATGGGTAATATAATTATCACAGCCAGAGAAATACAGTTTTCCCACATTATTTATAACTTGAAAAGTATGCATCACATTCACATTTTCAGAATCAGCATACTCCAAATACAAACATATGTCAAAATCATCCAAATTGGTACATTGGTTCAAAAGATAGATCGAAGTCCTTTGCGACCAAATAAAGCATGGCTTTTCTGCCCAAAACCAGTTCCACAGAGTCTTCTATCCTGGAGTTAATTGGGAAGTAATCCAATTATCTCCAAGGACAGAGGCAAAACTCCATTGAACACATGGCAGCAAAAGACAATAAAACACATAAAAATATATAACTGTGCAGCCATTGCACAAAACAGGTATATTCAATATATCCCCAGATTGCTCAGATCTGAGCGCACATTATTACTGAATGGCACTCAGAGCACACACATACAGTTCAATTGCCATGGAGCCAAAGTCTTTCCCATAGTCTTTCATTATACGAATGGGCTCCATGGCATAGCTATCTGGGCAAACACCGAATGACCCAGCTTTCGTGTCTTCGCAGGGGAAAATCAAGCGTTTCAACATGGGGCCATAGTCTAAAGGCAGCAGGTGGGCAACCAGGCTTCTCCAGTGCATAGTGGCGAGGTTGGTTCCGCATCATTTCTCCCATTTTCCAATCAGACTAACAGGGTATCTGACCTCCTGCCGGTCAGTGCCCTTGTTAGTCCAGCAGCCCACCCACAAAACAGAAACAGTAGTACAGCCCACCCACAATAAATGGTTACTACACCTGGGTAGAGGAGAAGCTTGTCCGTGTCCAGGTGCCTCACCATGGCTGTGCGGGGGACTGGTAGGCTGCCTTGGTGGGTTGCTGAGTGGGCAGAGACCAGCGGTACTCTGCCCTGGTGCCAGCGCTACCATGGAAGTAGCCTGGTTGGAGCCTGGTTGCTGGAGGGGGAGACCGACTGTCTCCCCTTTAGATACACCGCTCTGCTGCTGGAGGGGGAGACCGACTGTCTCCCCTTTGGCTAAACAGCCCAGTCGCTGGGGGGCAGGACCGACCATCCCTACCCACTGTGTTGTAAGTGCAGAGACCACGGTCCCATCTGCATGGTTGTGGGGCTTACTGTCTGCCCTGGGTATGTCAAGCTGCCGCTGGGGAGAGGGGGTAACCAGCTTCTCTCCCATATATCCTTCCAGCCGCTGGGGAGAGGGGGTAGAAGGCTCCTCTCCCTGACACTCTCTCTGCTGGTGGAGAGGGGGACCGACTGTCTCCCCTTTCAATATTTTGTCCTGCTGCTGGGGTGCGAGACCAACGGTCTCTACTCCCTGCAGGACACGCTGCCGCTGGGGAGGAAAGACGACACCTTTGGCTCCCTGTAACTCGCTCTGCCGCTGGGGAGGAAGGACGACACCTTTGGCTCCCTGGAACTCACTCTGCCACTGGGGAGGAAGGACGGCACCTTTGGCTCCCTGTAACTCGCTCTGCCGCTGGGGAGGAAGGACGACACCTTTGGCTCCCTGTAACTCACTCGGCTGCTGGGGAGGAAGGATGGCACATTTGGCTCCCTGTAACTCGCTCTGCCGCTGGGGAGGAAGGACGACACCTTTGGCTCCCTGTAACTCGCTCTGCCGCTGGGGAGGAAGGACGACACCTTTGGCTCCCTGTAACTCACTCTGCCGCTGGGGAGGAAGGATGGCACATTCAGCTCCCTGGGATACATACTGCCGATGGGGATCCTCGCAGGACCAGTCTAGGAGGTCCGCTACCTTGGGTACCGCTGGTTGCTGTTGGGGAAGAGGACTGGTTGTCTCTTCCCGGGCCTCATTGATAAGTCGCAGGTAATCCCACTCCAGGTCACATTCCTGGGCAACCAGATACTTTAGGTCTTCCTCGAGATCAACAGCGCTAGGGAGACCCAGCATGTCTTCTCGGTCGTAACACAGGTCCCAAAAACGGGAGTCGGTAGCTTTCCCAAAGTCCTCATCGTCAATATTATCCCAAAATAGGCCAGGGCCAACGTAATCTCCGCCCTCTGGGAACTCATACTCTGCCATCTCGGGGACACACTCAGCTGCGTACCACTGTATCGCCTGGTATGCGTCGTCAAGCACCAGTTCTACATATACTAGAATCTCAAGTCTAGTCACCCACGCTTCTTCGGTCTGTTTTCTCAGGAGGGGCATCCACTCTGCCATTCGAGCCAGGATTTGCTGCCTTCTGCTGCGGCGCCGATCCCCTCACGAATACTGTACTTTCTCTAGGGCTTCGTCCCACAACCCGGCTCTGGCAATCTCTCTGTACCTCAACATGTCCTCCTCTGACACTGCTCCAGACCCCAGGGATACGTAACAGTACAATCTATCTTGAAACTTCTCCTCCATTTTCTGAGTTCCTTTGTAGATAGGGCCGCTGTACGGATACATGACTCAATTTGTAAATCCAGGGAATGGTGTTACCTTGTAGCTGTCCTTCTGCGCTGTGGGAATGATTCCACCGCTTGCAACCAATGTATCGGATCACCTGGCACCCCGACTAGGTACCTCCATTGAAGGATGCTCCTAGCACTTCCTGAGGACTCCAAGCACTGCAGCGGACACCACAACCACTGAACCGTTTACAGAATCCGTAATTATGCAATCCTAGGTATGGACCTCATAGCCTCAGATTTCATCAATTACATTTTAAATGAATTTTTTAAAGACTGTAGAATCATTTGTTACCAGCAAGGGCGGAAGTATACTAACGAATTAGGTGAAATTCGTGCCTACATCGTAAGTTTGGCTGTAATTACCGAAAGGAAAAGAAATGAACAGCTGAATCATACAAATGAATGTGTCCCCTATGTGCCGTACGATTACCGAAAAGATTAATACAGTAGAAAGTGAACGAACGGTCGCGTTCGTATAAATAAAGGAAGTGAACATGCAATGCATAGGTGGATATGGTACTGGAATTAGCCGAACGGCTTGAGCGTTTTGCAATACATGAAAAAAAAAACTGAACACTAGGTTTAAACGAACGGAGCCCTGCCGTGAAAGGTAGCAATGTTGCGGCTGTTGCTTTACGGCGGGTTCAGACTTATGGTTAAGCCCGGTGTTGGAGCTGAGAGTGGGCTGCGCGGACGCCAGCGACGGGTGGCAGAAGCAGGGAAGTACCGGACCAGGAGACCACGAGGAATTCAGGTAAGGAATCCAAAATGGTGGTCTGAACCGGAAGTAAACGTTTCAGACTCACCAGACCAGCAACGGTAAGGTGAGAGTGGATTGGTTCAAGCCCCACCCACAACTACAGGCCAAGCCTCCAAATATATATATGACTTCCTGTGGGGAGTATTGGGGTGATTGAGACAGTATGAGTGTGATAGTCGGTTGGAGACCTGTGAGAGTGAGTGTAGGGGGGTGACTGTAGCATGGTACAGTGAGGCTAATGGTGCTGGATGAAGGTGGTAACTGTTGTAGTAGGAGTGTGTGGTGGTAATTATGGCAGGGTTTTGTTTCTCTGTACCCACACTGTAATGTTTTTTGTTGCTCCCATACTGATTGCATTTTGGTATTGGAGGGGGACAATTATTAATTTACCGGTTGGTCTAGTGTGCTCCCTGGTGGTGCAGTGGGCTTAGTTGCAGGTCAGATGAACCCTCAATCTGCACACAGACAGAAGCTGAAGACCAGCTGCAGGGGGTCACAGCAGAACAGGTGCTATAATAGTAGCATTTGGCTCTGCTGCCTGGGAGCCCAAATTGCAAACACTGGTTTGCGTAATACAAATTTCATTTGCAATTCTGGGGTATGGGTGCATACCCTTGTAATTGTATATACACGTTCCCTGTTGTGAACTGGTTAAATAACACTCTGGATGGAATAAAGCACTTCAGCTTGCTTAAGTGCTTTATGTCCCTAAAACCTTTTTTTGGCAGTTCATTAAACTTCCGATTTCAATATAAACCATATTTATCAAGACTACATACATCCAGATACAAAAACAGGAGCACATTCTGAAAAACAATCGACTAGTGTAACCTGTGATTTATTCAAGAGCAAGACACATAATGTATTGGCAAAAGTATAGGTCAGAAACTGGTGCTGGACAAGGTTTTACTTCCAATTGCCATTCACTTGGGCTGAGGTTAGGACTCTGTGCAGGCCACAACAAACTCATAAATTCCATTTATTGAGGAAACTGACTGCACTCTTGGTTCCTGCAACATGCCAGAGAAAAGCAGGTTCCACTAACCTATGGGTTGGTGTACCGCAAACTAACAATGTTGAATAGGAGGAAAGGTCCAGGCATTCAAAAAGTCTTATAAAGTGTAGACATCAAGCATAAAGAGACGTTTCAGCTACCTAAGCCCTTTGTCATGTCATGACTTAGCAAAAGGCCTTAGCAGGCCAAAATGCTGTCATTTTATGCTTGAGGTTACCTTTAAAGTCTGCAATTTATAAGCCTTTTGACTGCTTGGACCTTTTACCTGATAACAACAAACTCTTCAATCTAACCATGTTTTCATGGATATCATGTTCTGCCGAGGTCAAATGGCTCCCCATCATCTAAAATGAGTTAGTATCCTGTAGCATTAAGGTGAACCCTCACTGAAGCAAAGAGGCCTAGCCCAATCCCAAAAAAACATTTCAAGACCATTAACTCTTTTCCACCAATTTCTAGAAGCCACTATTTATTTTAGTAGGTAGCATTAAGCTGGCATTCATTATCAATTAGTTTCTTCCTTCCGATTGCCAGAATGATTCATCACTCCGTAGAACGTTTTCACTTCTCCAAGGTCCGGTGGCAGTAAGTTTTACAACACTCAAGTTGACGCCTGGCATTGCACAGGTTGATGTAAGGCTTGTGTACAGCTGATCAGCCATAAAAACCTATTTCATAAAGCTCCGGCGAATAGTTCTTGCGCTGATGTTCTTCCAGAAGTAGGTTGGAACTCTGTAGTGACTAATGCAACCGGTAAGAGGGGATAATCACATGCTGCATACTTCAGCTTAGAAAGCAAGCTCTATATGTGCGGTCTACAGTTACTAGTAAAGGCATTTACTTCACAATAATAGCACTTATATTTAACTGGAGCAGACCTAATAAGACAGAAATTGAATAAACTGACTTGTGGCAAAGGTGAAATCCCATGACAGTGCCACATTTAAGTCACTAAGCTGTTTATTACAACCAGTTGTACTGCCAGTATTTGTCAATGGAGACTTCATGGCTACATGCTGTATTTCATGCTTCTGTTAACAATTGGCGAAGCTGAAACAACTAAACTCAATTAGTAGGCATGTCCACATATTTTGAACGAAATATTGTAAATATAAATGTTTCATGCAGTAGCCCTTTTTAAATGTACAATGTTCTTCAATGCAGAAAAAAAAAAAGTCTGCTGTCCAAAAGGTATGTGTCTACACCTTGCTCTTCAATACAACACACACACTGCACTAATGGGCCCTTTTATCGCCATTTGAGTGACTCAAATTAGTTATATGACCAATAATACAAATTTAATCTTTCCTATTGCCAAGTTAATTTCCTGATGCTCTTTCCCATTTGTTTCCTACCAGATTACATTTGACCACCCCAACTTTTTTTTATGCAACCCTCACCCTCCCTAGCTCCTGGACAATCATTACATTTAAGTTTTATATAAAATTGTACTTCACCAACTTTGAAAGCTGGATCCCTGTGGAAATACACCTGCTTTAAACTGTCAACACATTTATCATGTACATTTGTCTCTGTATGTGTGACATTGGATTTTAACTTCAAGTTATATGTGTTGAGCACAGAAAAAAACATTGTGTTGCTTCATTTATATTCCTTATTTTTTAATGAATAGACTACAAAACCATAAAGAAATAGACATAGAACGATATACAGCTTGACTGTCTGAAACTTAATCTATCCCTGCCGCTGCTTGTGTTTATTATTGCTTTTGCAATACACGAAAATCCTTCCACGCCTTTTCACAAAGTAGCAGTCGGCGCAACGTTTTTTCACAGCACTTTTTGTTTTCATTCCACAACATTGCTGTTCAGATAGAGGAGGACTGCTAGTGAGAAATGGAGATTGCTTTAGTCCAGTCATGTTCCAGGATGCTGCGGACCACCTACAGACACTGAACACTGTATGGAGGGAAAAATAACCTGCTGCATGTTGATTCACGAGACAGAGGGGCTTTACCATCGCCATGAGCCTGCTTCTCAGCAGAAGGGATGCCATTGTTCAAACCCTGGAGAGTAAAAGAAAGAAAGAAAAATTTGTATTTATATACAGGAAATTTTTCAATGAGGAGGCTAGTGGTGATGATTATCTACAAAGTTATGGATTTGTTAAGAGATGGGCTAGTAACACAAGAAGGACACTGCAACACACAAACACTGACACCTGCACACACCTCACCCTTCACAAACACATACAGTCACACACTCCTCCACAATAACATGCATTCCACCAGCATTCACACCCCCACACAACACAGCTACATCCAATCACAAATAACATGCTGTATTAACATGGTCACCTGAGAATGGACAATAATAATAATAATAATAATACCAATATCCCTATCATGATGATTAGTCTAGGCTCACCTTACTTAGCTGTATCTGGTGTGCTGCACAGACACTATACAGACAGCGGGCCTGTCTTGTCCTGTTCTCTCACAGACAGTGTAGTCACTCAGTAAATGTCACCCAAACTCACAGAACTCTCCGCACTGACCGACCCAGCACGATATCTCACTGCGCACGCGCACTGCGTGCCAGAACCGTCATCACCCACGTGATGTACGTACAGCTCCTGTCGCTATTGGTGCCCGCTGCAGTTCGATGCAGTCTTGCTTTACGGCCAGATTTACATCCGGGGTCGAGCGGCCAATAAGGGAGGACTGAGGACAAGCCGCTAAGGTGACAGTAAAAATGGCGGCGCCCTGCACTGCCATTGGCCGGGTCTGGTCTCGCAGACTAGGATGGATGTCAGTGACCGAGAGTGCCCGGAGCTCTCGGAGACCTCAGTCCTCCCCGGGATCGGCTAGCAGGCTGGGCTGGAGAGCCTACACCGCACAGAGCTCCACCGGGGAGCCTGTTACCCACACCGGCCAGGTCATGTTCTGCCCCCTCTCTGTACTCTGCTGTAAATAGATACATTGTGTTTGTCTGAAGCCAGTCCAGCCTGTATAGAAATTACAGAAATAATATTAATCAGCTTAATTAATATCTGGGGGAGTTATTGATCGTGTAGCAGTAAGTAGGGCAAATTGGTTTGTTGGACATACAAGAGGACAATTAATGTGTAACTTTAAGAATTTAAAAATCTGATTATCAGCAATATCCAGTTACAGTATATGATCATACATTGCATAAGCCTGCCACAACGCCAATGTACCCCATCTTTGGCAGGCCATTTAGCAGACAGAGTAGGACCTGCCAAAGATGGGGTACATTGGCGTTGTGGCAGGCTTATGCAATGTATGATCATATACTGTAACTAAACCCCCATTATATTTTTTTGCCTAGATTAGGTGTTTTTAATAAAACTGAAAATTGTTCAGCATTAAAATGACTGTTTAGTAGATAACTATTTTGTTATTTAGGCTCCTTGCATTAGTAAGCATACATTTAATATAATGCGTCACTTGTATATTTTGTGAATTATCATCATTACATAGCTTCTCTGTTCTGAGCTTGCCCCTCCACCCCCCTTATACTGTGCTAAAGCCCATCTCCTTTCTGTCCTATCTCCATTTTGTAGATTGCTATGACCCTCCCCACCCATTACTAGTTTAAAATCTGCTACAACCTTCTAGCTATCCTATCCCCCAGCACTGCAGACCCTCTCCCGTTTAGGTGCAATCCATCACCACTATAAAGGTTGTACCCAATCGCAAAGTCGGCCCAGTGCTCTAAAAACCCCAAACCCTCCTTCCTGCACCAAGACTTAAGCCACGCATTGACCTCTCTAATCTCCCGCTGCCTTTCCACTGTAGCGCGGGGCACAGGTAATATCTAAGAGAATACCACCTTGGAGGTCCTTTTCTTAAGTTTGCTACCTAATTCCCTGAAATCTTCCTCTTAATTTGTCATTAGTACCAACATGGACCATGACCGTTGGGTCATCCCCAGCCCCTCCCAATAATCCATCCACTCTGTCAGCAACATGCCGGACCCGAGCACCCGAGACATCAAACTGTCCGGTTGAGCCAATCAGAGCGGCAGATTGCCTTATCTGTTCTCCTAATGATAGAGTCCCCTACCACCACAACCTGTCTTGCCTTCCTTACATTTTGATCCTCACCCGTACTAGGGGGGCTGTTAGAAGTAACAGCTTCCTCTAATACAGCTACTCCTGAGCTGATGCTCCCAACATCTTCCCTCAAACAGGCAAATCTGCTAGGTTGCGCCAAATCAGGACTAACTAGCCCTTTCCTCTTCCCTCCCCCCCGCTTCCTTGGCCCACTGTCACCCAGCTACATGCCTATTCTCCATCTGTCTTATCTCCTCCCTCTCCACTACCTGTCCCCACTAAACTCTGCTCAGTGAGCAGCAGACTCCTCTCAAGATCTCCAATCTGAGCTTCCAGAGAAGCCACTCGCACACAACCATCACAGAGGTATGGACCCTGGACGGGTACATCCAGGCATCCATACATGCAACAAGATGTGCATGGAGTCAAACCAGCAATCTTGCTAACACTCATTTCCCCAGAAACAGAACAATAGAACAATTACCTTGTTAGTTTAAACCCCTTGTTAGTTTGAACTCCTGGTTTTCTAACTCCTACTTGAAAGAGTCTACTTAATAGAGTCTGCTTTCAAGTAATGTGAGCCAAAGGTTCTGCTAAAGATGGTTGCAATTTTGAGTGCATGGTTCCTGAGATTAAGAGATGTCTCAGAGGCTCAGAAATTAGTAAGGCTGCTTGATTTGAATGCTTCTTTCAGAGAGTCACAAATCTGTAGTTGGGCCAATTCCATTTGGTAAATCGGATCAACAATTTCAATGTCAACAGAAAATGGGTTCCGGCAAAAGCTGTATGTCCTGTTCATGGAGATGAAGCTCTTTAAATCTAATTGGAAACTCCTTTTTTATTTCTGGTACATCCATACATGCTTTGTTTGGGAATGCAACTGCTGGTTTTTCCACCAACAGGTTTTGAGTTGTGGGGAGAAGACAGAAGTTTTCCTCCTTCACTTATTTAATGGGGAGGTCTAATTTTACTTGAAATGCTTTTACATGTGAATACATATCACAGATGAGCTTCCCCTTAATGTGAAGTTGAACATTAAAACTGTTGAGTAGCTCTGTTACATCTGTCAGAAAGTCAAGGTGCCATTTACATTCTGCATCCTTGAACTCTGGTACTTTTGTTTTTTGAAAGCAGAAAGCTGTGGAAGTAAGTCATAAAAACGTTTCAAAACTCTCCCTCGACTCAGCCAACGGACTTCTGTGTGGTACAGAATATCTTCATAGGCAACATTTAGCTCAGACAGAAATTCCTGAAACTGTCTGTGGTTTAGTGCATGAGCTCTAATGACGTTAACAGACGCGCTATGAGCTTGGCAACTTGAAAACTTGCTCGCAATGATATATTTAGCTGCTTTTGCTTCACAAAAGTATTTTGCTGTGTTGTCAATCCATTTTTTAGTTTTAATATTTTCTTTTCTCACTTGTCCGACCAAACAATAATTTATCTTTATGTTGAGTTTCGTAGTGTCGACGCAAATTGTATTCCTTGAACACAGACACTAAATTCTGGCATATCAGACAAACCACTCTTTCTTTGTACTACGTGAAAAAGTAATCGTAAGTCCACTGTTCTTTGAATACCCTGCACTCAGAGTAAATTTTTCTTTTGTTTTGACATAATGATTTCCTAGGGATTGAAAATTGCTATTGGTAAAATTACAGAGCTACAAAAATAATATACCAGCAATAATGACTAAACTATAAAATAAAAAATATCAGCGCTCAGCAGTAACGCACAAGCTCACTCACTAGCAGGCGCGCACACACACACACACACAAGTTCACTCACTAGAAGGCACGCACACACACACAAGTTCACTCACTAGCAGGCGCGTGCGCACACACACACACACACACACACAAGCTCTCTCACTAGCCGGCACTTATCACAGGTGTAGGTGAGAGGTGGCCCAAGTATGCTAATACTATTAAATTGACCATAGCAATTTCAGTTTAGAGCCGAGAAGACTGAGTTGATCACCATCCCCATGGGAACTGGCAGTATTTTGACGCATCTGGCGAAACCTTGAATCTAAAAGGGAGGGCTGTGTATTAAATATGTGATGTGCAGGGAAGGGGGCGTTCATTTATATGGCTTGTGGTTTCTGGAAGACCTACTCAGACACAATATATATTTAATATAGATTTGAATATCTTTATACATAACTTAAAAACAAATCGACAAGCATTTTATCAATATCAACGATCATGAGGATACAGATTGCCATTATAACCCACAGTTGAAATATTGTCTGTTCTATCTCCATGGTGCTCACTCCAGTACAAGTATATAAATATGTGGTGGACCTACATTCAAACAAACATAAATATATATGTTTAACTAGTTCCATAACTAGGATATGTGTTTTGGATAGTATCATAAACAGTCCATCATTCACACAAACATACATATGTGCAGAGACTCGTATACAGTAGTATATAGTTGGAAGTGCTGGGTAGAAGATTTCTAGTGATGCCATGCTCGGATGGAAGAGACTCTACCAGGCTCTGCTGTGTTTAGGCAACAAGCCAGGAGCCTGTGACACTGTGAGACTTCTAGTGTCGTGATGTAGTGTAGAAGTGTAAGGCAACAATGAAGCTGTCATTGACACCGTGGATTTGTTGCACGTAATTGAAAGAAGTAGAGTATCTTAAGGTACTTTGGACACTTATAAATACAATAGTGAAGAGTACTCAGAGACTTAAGTATGATCATACGTTTGTTGGAGAGCATTGGTTTTATTTCTTACCTGTGACCTCTAGTTTAACAATACCCAAGTTTTAAACTGATAAAGTACCTCTGCTATGTCAAAAAGAACTCATTGTCACTTTTTAGTGAACATGTAAAAAAAAATGTAAGCACCATAAACTAGTGGCTATGGTGCCGTGAATGCTCTGGCACCTTCCTAGGGAAAATAGTGAAATGACTTACAAATGGATTGACAGCATTTTTGGGGCCTACGGATTGCCTACTCCTCCTGTGGCGCAGGGAATTGCTTATTTGTCGACTGCTCAAATTACCTAATTTGCACTGCAGGGTTTAGCTCCATAAGCTAATGGAAGTTCCTGGAAGGAGCTTCTGGATCCAAAAGAGGCTGTGACAGGCAACTTTAAACCCAATTGACTAGTTTCCTTGGGAGAGTGGCAGTTGTTGTGGTGCATTGTGTGTTCCTTTAATCTAAAACTCATGCTAGCAACAGTACTAGTATGTGTGTGTATGTGTGTGTGTGTGTGTATATGTGTGTGTGTGTGTGTATATGTATATGTATGTGTATATATATATATATATATATATATATATATATATATATATATATATATATATATATATATATATATATAAATTTTATATATATAAAAAACATTTTTATTTTGTGGCTATATTACTGTTGCACTCTATTAAATATTAAAATTATTTCAGGTTTTTGATGAGCACGACTACAGAAAAGTACGATTTGTTGGGCGTCAAAAAGAGGTAAGCACAGATATTTTATGGTGATTCTTCTCAATGAAATTTTTTTTTTTTTTTTTATATATATATATATCTCTTCAGTTTTCCACTGAATAGCCTCTTCTTACATCATAACATACTGTGATATCATGGTGGTTTTCACTTGCAGTACATTTAATCATTTAATCTGCATACTATGTGCACTTACATAAAAATATAAACCCACTGATTTATATCAAGGTGAATTCTTGAACACATTCTTGTCCTCTGTGTGGCTATATGTCTGAATCTGTCAGGGTTATTCACTAAACTTTTGCATTCATGTGGCTCTGTCATCTCCACTTAACTTTCTCCTATACACCAAATTCCACATTTCCACAAATTTAAATCTGAATGGAAAAGCAGAGGCAAAGGTTATGACTACAGCTAACTTTGAGATTTTTTTTTTTTTTTTTTCAGATCTGCTTTTTTGTTTCTTTGTTTCAGTTTTTGTATTTGAATTTACGGTAATTTGCAAAAAGTTTGTTTAGTGAATAACCCGGTCAATGCTCAAATTTGTAGACAGGTGCCTCTTTCTGAAATGATTTTGTTTGTCAGGACAAGTAGGTTGTCATGATAGATAAGTAGATTGAGCTATCACTTTAGTCCTTTGGAAAAGTATATATTTTTTTTTTAATTTTTTTTTTGAATTTAAAAAAAAACAAAACATTTTTTCATTGTTTATTTAAAGTTGTATATATGTATAGTCCTCATCCATCGTTAGACTTGTCTACCAAAATTTTAGATACAGATAAAACATACAGTGTGACAGCCATTACCTTAATATAGTACAGTTAAAGGGATTCTATAGTGTTAGGAATACAACCTTGTATTCCTAACACTACAGTGCCCTCTAGTCGTCCCCTCCCCCCCCCCAGGCATTTAAGGGTAAAAACCCTTTATCACTTCGCCAATCTCACCCCCACTGGATGACACCCTGACTGGATGCCTCCTAGTATCCCCGAGTACTTCCAAGCACTCCACCAGACACCATAGCCACCGCAGACCCTTAGCCGCCGAAGCTTCACTGGGGTCTCGCCGTTCTCCACCCACCCAGGACCCAAGTCAGGGATCCAGCTTCCAGTGGGTAGACCTCTCCTCCTCCAGAGAGTATAGCAGGATAGCCATTACAAGAGCTAGTGATGAAGCTGTTCCCTTCAAGCACGAGACAAAGTTCTGTGTTGAGGGTGAAGTAGAACTGTTTAATGGCAGCCACAACTGGCCTTATATGCAAGTCCCCATGCAAGTGGTTTTCCGTAACACATCCAGGGGCATTCCCCATTGGATCTGAGAGGGGACTGTGACAAAGTACACACTGTAATTACATTGGCTCTCAGGTCCAGGACACTCCCACACAAAACAGGATAATCCCTCCCCTGTCCCTGAGAGATAATTGAGTCAGGAACTGTACTAAACTCAATTATCTCCAGGCACAGAAAACCTATATTTAACAATAACCCGAAAATACTCCCAAAACACATGGAAACCCCACAAACGTCCCCTGATAGCCCCGATCTGAGGAACCAACATATCTAAAAATCACCCAGATCGGTTCAGGGGTTTGGGATTTCCATGGAAGTCATAATTTGACCGACTGCACACGAGGCTCCTGCCCAACATAGTTCCAGAGAATCAGTGCTTCCGGATACCGAACATAGTCTTACCCTGGTGCTTGTTCCCCTCATCCAGACTATCGATTCCACCGAACCGTGACCTTCTAAGTTGTGTAGAACTGAACACAGGCGATGTTGAAAGTCTGCAGCTGAAAACAAGTTACTCGGGTTGTGTTCTTCAAATTTTTTATCTAATTTGACTGGAGGCAGTACAAGTATATAAAGTGTGTCAGTAGTCCCCAAAAAAGCATTCCTTCTTTACCATTTACAAAGTCTAGACTAGTGTTTGAACAGTGATACCTGATATCTGCACAGAGTTATAAGCACATAGGGGAAAGGGGATCTTTGCAGCGAGATTTCAGTTTCTAGGCAGACAGGATGCCACAGTGGTCCTCCTCATACTGCTTGTAATCTTTGGTGCATATTTTTCAGCAGGTTCAGGCAATTTATTCGCACACAGTGGTGTTTTTCTCAAGGCTTAAGGCAGATTAACTGCTTGAGTCTGTGCTATTTAGGAGTCAGATCTTTGTTCATGCAACTGTAGTCCCACCTTCCCTGCATGTTATCTACACAGACTCCCTACACATTTCCTGTAAAAAGCGATCTAATGTTTAAACTTCCTTTATTGTACATTCTCCTTAAATTAGAATGTCTTATATCCTGCTCTGTCAATAGGCTGATAGAGCCTACAAAACTGTGATTAAAGTTTAATTAAAAGAGCAGAAGATTAAAAACTTCTAAAGTAAATTCACTGTGCTGTGAGATCTAAAAATGTAAACACATTTTTAATGGGGTCTGTGCGAGTAACAGCTGGGGTGGGGGGGGGGGGGGGGGTTGCTAGGGCTGTGTAAATAGAATAAAAAGAGAATTAACTTGTTGGTGGCAGAGTATGATTTATACATTAACCCTGTTCCATGAAGCTTAATTTGTTTTGGTGCTTAGAGTATCCTTTTGAGACATTGTTTGTGTTTAAATTGACCTATACCTGTTTTATGGCCGAATAGACTGCACAAAATATTTACAGGGTTGTTCACTAAAGTGAGAATTCAAAATTAATTCCAAATTTAAAAGAACACAAACATGTATTCCTGACACTATAGCTCAAAGAGCATCGTTAAGGTACCCAGCCACCTTAAAAAGGTTTTTACTTCACTTTTTTCCAGCACTGCGCAGGTCTCGTCTTGGCGCAGTGCTGGGAAAAAAGTGAAGTTAAATACTTTGTCCAGCTCACACTCTGCCTCCTTGGCTGAGATCATGAGACTTGATGATCTCAGACAATCCAGTGCATGTAAATTACCCTAAAAGTACATTGTCAGATGTTGATCCCAGAGGATGTTATAACCTCATCTTTTATGCCATAAGAGCCAGGCATATCACATGAAGTTACTAGCCTGATATGCTTGATCTTTGCTTGGAGAAATTACTTTTGAGTTCATTTAGGGCATAAAAAATCCCCAGCTGCAGGTTTGAAATGAGACACAGAACTGCTGAATTTCATCTGCTGTCCATAAGCTGCCAGGGATCAGGCTGTTACTGCATGATACCCTCTGCATTGAAACAGAGGATTGCCTTGCACTTCTGCATAACATATTGGCTTGGTCAGTTGGAAGAATGAGATGATGTAACATTTTTCCAAGTCGGACATAAAGTTATCTATTTTGCCTAAGCAATTTCCAGCTAGACACAAGTACAGTACAGGCATAGATAGGGTAAAGTGTGTGTGTGTGTTTTGTGTTTGTACGAGTCAGTCGTTAGTTAAGTATGATTGTTGCTATTTTGGTGTAAGGAACTAGTGTTGTATGTCTTATTCCATACATGTGAATGTGGTTAGCTAGGTATCATAGAGAATGAGTAAGGGTGTAGCTAATAAATTGTTTATGCCTGTTATGATATATAAACCAAATACATACATAAGGTGGAGCTTCTAACATGGGTTTTGTTTCAGTATAAATCTGTTAATAATAAAAATACAAAACAATGGTGCAAAATTGTTGAAACAGGTTAAATCTGATATATAAACATAAGGAGTGTCACTCACAAGTCGAGAGCCATAGCTCTCATATGACTCAAATGGTAAACGCCTGTGGACACTTGTAGGATGTCCAATTCCTTCTTCAAGCTGACTCCTTGGAGTTCACACTGTTTGACCCTCAGGATAGTTGGTGTCTCCCCAAGCTCCACGGTCCCAGCGGTATATACACAGGATACACAGAGTGGGTCTTCAGAAATTATGCTTTATTTATAATAAAGTATTATTATAAATAATAATAAATATAATATAAATTATATTATTAAGAACAAATGAAAATGCCATATTGAATGTCTCTGGGTGACTCAATAGTCCAGTATAATGTCCAAAACGCGTTTTGCCCTTCAAACGGGCTTCCTCAGTTTGCTGTATTCTGTTTCCTTGTCTCTCTTCTTTTTAAATATCCCGCTTGCTTCCTCTGGTTTCGGATTGTTGGAATGCAACATGCCTTCCAGCGTCTTGCGTCATTATGCTACTATTTCCGGTTCACCCTTTTCCTCCAAAGTTGAACCGCACATGCACTCCGACTTGTTCATTTGCGAAAAAAGTTATTTAACAAAGTACATATGATGTCTGGAACGCTTATGCGTTCCAGTATATAACCTCAATGTCCATAAAACATTGTTGTTCCCGGGAGGTGGACATTGTCCTTTGTTATTATATAGAGTATATTATATGGGACACATAATCTAAAACATTTGTATGTAATTAAATTTCCTTTATTAAGGCCTTCTTATTAAAGGTAGAGGTGTTTCTATGTACATATTGCCAAAAGGAAAAAAAACAAAAACGTAATTAGGTTAAAAACAATGAAATGTTCTATAAATCTCTTTGTATATTAATAAAAAGATATACATCTGAAGCATATGAATAATGATAGGGGCCGAAACCGGAAGAAAACGCCAAGCAGGATACAGTCATCTGATGAAGCCCGTTTGAAGGGCGAAACGCGTTTTTGGACATTATACTGGACTACTGAGTCACCCAGAGACATCCAATCTGGCATAGTCTTATTTTGTGTATTTTAATTTTATTATAAATAAAGCATCATTTCTGAAGATCCACTCTTGGTATCCTGTGTATATACCCCTGGGGAGATACCAACTATCCTGAGGGTCAAAAAGTGTGAACTCCAGGGAGACAGCTTGAAGAAGGAATTGGACATCCTATAAGTGTCCACAGGCGTCTACCATTTGAGTCATATGAGATCTATGGCTCTCGACTTGTGAGTGACACTCCTTATGTATGTGTGTGTGTGTGTGTGTATATATATATATATATATATCTCAGATTTAACCTGTTTTAACAATATTGCACCATTGTTTTGTATTTTTATTATTCACAGATTTATACTGAAACAAACAAAACCCATTTTAGAAGCTCCACCTTATGTATGTATGTATGTATATGGTTTATATTTTGTAGAAGTGATTTAGGGAATACCACTAAAGGTGTTTTGAGCTTTTACCACTATTTTCTCCATATTGTGGACTTATCTGTTGATTTAGTTTACCTGTTCTGATATATAGGGTTTTTTTGTTTTTTTTTATACAAAGGAACGGAAATAGAATTCTTATCTACATCCAACAAGCAATTATGCTCTGTCACAACAGTAATAGTGCATGTGCTGTTAAAGAGCAGAAAAAACTGCCTATAGAATCGTTCTTCTGCTTTCTACTGTGACTCACATATTCTTGTGTTGAGCACATCTTGCTTGAGTATAGAAATGGAGTAACAGGTGTTGGCAATTCTCTCATGTCCATACTCTGCCAAAGAAGTCAGTGTTTTTGGGCATTAAAAAGTAGCACTTCTTGGGGAAATGGTCACATTTAGGAACAATTGTGTAGGTATTCGACAATTCAGCCGAATTTAAAGAGGTACTATAGTGCTAGGAATACAAAGCTGTATTCCTGGTGCTATCACGCCTACTTCTCCCCCCACCGGTAAATAAAGGGTTAAAAACGCTTTTAGCTACTTACCGAATTCCAGCCATGATGACCCTCGGGGCTGGGTCGAAGCTCATTCTCCATCCTGCGATGAGGGTACGCTAATGCGCATGATCGGTAGACCTCCACAAAGGGAAGCATTGAATAAATGCTTTCCTATGGGGGGGGAAAAATCTTAAGATGGATGTCCTCATGCAAAGCGTGAGGACATCCAGAGTCCGATACCAGACCAAATGTCCGTTTCAAACCAGGAAGCCCTCTAGTTGCCGTCTGGTAGACAGCCATTAGAGGTTTCTCTAGAACTGCAATGTTTCACTTTGCGGCACAAAGGGCTATAGGAACACTGTACCCAGACCACTTCAATGAGCTGAAGTGGTCCGGGTGCCTACCTTGTCCCTTTAAAGGACCACTATAGTGCCAGGAAAACATACTCGCCGGGCTCTAGGGGGTGGAAGGGATTAAATTTACCTCTTTCTCCATTGCCGGACAGGGAACTCTCCTCCTCCATATCGCCATCATCGGCTAAACGCGCATGCGCGGCAGGAGCCGTGTGCGCATTCAGCCAGTCCATAGGAAAGCAGTCTCAATGCTTTCCTATGGACACTGGTGTCTTCTCACTGTGAAAATCACAGTGAGAAGCGCGGAAGCGCCTCTAGTGGCTGTCAATGAGAGATTGAGACTGGATTAACTCTATTATAAACCTAGCAGTTTCTCTGAAACTGCTATGTTTATAGAAGAAAGGGTTAATCCTAGCTGGACCTGGCACCCAGACCACTTCATTAAGCTGAAGTGGTCTGGGTGCCTATAGTGGTCCTTTAAGCTGTTCTGGGGTTTGTCTGAATTCTGTATCACTGTACCGCCATGCGGACATATAACCAAGCAATTGACTAGTGTGATGGACGAGCATGTTAGTTTGCATCGGGATTTGGAATTCTGCTTGTGACACCAAATAAATTAGATGATTGGCTACAAGATAACTACTTAAATGTCAATTAACGGGTCTAGGTACAGTGGTTCTTTAGCTTTAACCCTGCAATGTAAAACATTATTTATTTATTTATTTATTTATTTATTTTTATTTTATTTATTTTTTAGAAACTGTAATTGTTGCATTGCAGGGTTAAATCCACCTCTAGTGGCTATCTTTCTGACAACCACTAGAGGCACTTCTGCTATACTGACAGTGAAACTCAGTCACGTGATGCTGAAACTCATAGGAAAAGAAGTCGAGCAATCCTTTCCTTTGTGACAAATTTGGATTTGCTGCATAGGCACATTAGTTCCCAATGCTCCTCTATGAGAAGCATTGAATTGGAAGTCGACTTGAGAGACAGATAAAGCCGTAGGAGGAGTGGCTAGCAGCACTGCAGTCTTGGTGCTCCAGTAAAAGTAAGAAAACTGGATATGAGAGGGGACCTAAAACAAACCTGATAATGGTAATTAAGCTGCTTGTGTGTGGCTATTTTATATTGAATTGGCACACTGTATTCTTATTGTACCATGTTTCAGACTAAAGTTTAACTGTGTTCTCTCTAGCTTTTATCCAAAATAAACAATAAATAATATAATGCCTCTTTGTCAACCTGTCACATTTTGTTTCCTTCTAAAATATTTGGAATTGATTCAACTCCCCAAAAAGTGAAGAGAAAGCACTAGCTGATCTTGAATCTGTCCTATGCAAGATAAAGAAGATGCACAATACAGAGCTGTGCCTTGATATTTGTTAACCACTTTGTACATTTCTCTGGGCACAGTAAATGTTTTATTTTCCATTGCTACTCATTTATCTGCAGGAAAGGGTGCGTGTGTATTTCTGCAGTAGGATTGATTTTCAGAGACCAAGCATTAATAATAAGGTCATCCATGCCTTGAGAGCCTGTGCATTAAGTGACAGTAGTATGGCCCTTTTGTCATTCAGAAGTGTCAAGGCATCGCATGGTCGTCCCACAAAGTAGGTAGACGGGGTCTTTCAGCTGACACAGTCGGTGCCTTGATGTCTGCCAGAATAACCTGGAAGGTATTTGTGTTGTCAGTCACAGAGACATCACATTACTTTAAACTGTAACACAGCCTATGTGAGGTTAGCCGTCTTATCCATCAGCGCGAGCAGATGGAAACAGTACATCATTTTAATGCACCTATTAAGGATACCCCCGTAAGGAGAGAGAGACAGCCTTTTGCTCAGTAAATTGAAGATGCTCACAGTTACAGTCATGTTTGTAACAGAGAGGCTTCTTTTTGTTTTAAAGGACTTCTTTTGTGTTTACTTCAGTGGGGTTTTTAATGTTTGTTGTAAAAGGGACCTGACAGACTAGTGCTGACACCCTCAACCTCTAAGTGTTTAGTGTACTGTATAGATTAGTGAGGGGTTCTTAAGTTAAATTTGAGTCCTCATGCTATTTATTGTGACTGCAAAGGTTGAAACAGGCACCAGATTCTGATCGGGTTTTAAGCGAATGCCGGCAACAAATTGTTTCTGCCTTCCCCAGTACAATAGAGACCCAGCAGACACTATATTGTTTTGCTAAATTAATTTTACTGTGTAATGTATAATAAATGTATTCTTCGACTTCGAGCTTTTTGTGTAATTGAAGAATGAGACACAAATTTAATACATAATGTGACGAAAGTAACCTCGTCACTGGTTGTTGGAGGAGCCTGTTGGCCAGCCTCTTACCCTGTGACTATGGCCCTGCAATAGACCTGGCTAAAATACTTTAAAAGGCTCTGTTCATGTGAAGTATATACTTGTACTCCAGGCAGAGAGACCGACCACTGGCACGAATTCTCTGGAACTGTTTTGGGCATGGGACCATGTGCACGGTCGGTCAAAAATAAGACTTCCAGGAAATTTCTGAACCCCTGAACTGATCTGGGTGATTTTTGGATATGTTGGTCACCCAGATCAGGGCTGTCGGGGGATGTAACATTTGCGGGGATATTATGTGGTTTGGGACTCTTTAGAAATGTTTTTTTTTTTTTTTGTGTGTGTGTTTGGAGAAAATTGAGTTTAGTATAGTGCTTGACTCCACTATTTCTTAAGTAAAGGGGAAGGCTTTTTGTATTGTATGTGGGAGAGTTGTACATTTTAATTACTGTTCTGATTGGTTTGTAAGCTTTGTGTCCCTGTCCATGTGGGCGTACACCTTGCATAAAAGGCCAGCTGGGGACTTGCATAAAAGGCCAGCTGTTGCTTCCATTAAACAGAATGCTTTACCCCTTCATGAAGTCTTGTCTCATGTTTGGGGTATTGGAGAACTACATACACTCTGGGGATTGCTATATCACAATACTCCCTTGAGTATAATCACTAGCTCTTCTTCTAAGAGCTGTTCCTGCTGCGCTCTCTGGACTAGGAGAGGTCTACCCACTGGAATCTGGATCCTGGTCTTGGGTCCAGGGTGGGTGGAGCACGGCGAGACCTCAACCAAGCTGCGGCTGTTTGTGGTGATCTACGGTGGTTATGGTGTTCCAGTACAGTGCTTATGGTGCTCGCAAGTACTAGGAAGCAGCGATTGACGGAGGTACCCGGTCGGGGTACCAGGCAGTCCGGCACACATACAAATACATGTATTAAGCTGAAAAAATACAAAGGTTACGGAATCAGGTTGTACCCAACCCGTAGTCCAAAATTGGGTTGATGAGGTAATACGGGCATAACCCAATATGAAATAAAACTGGTAAGAGAAGAAACCTAACTACAAGAGATCGGAACCAACCCCACTGAAATTACCTCACATTTAAATCATTCTAAAGTAATAGCCAAAAATAATAAATTAATAATAAATACAACTTTATTAAAGGTATATGAGAACAAAAACAAACTAAACCCTTAAAATGTAAGAAGAGCAGGGAAAATGTTAGTAGATAGGTAGTTTGTATAAAGGCTAAAAAAAAAATCCCTTAAGGCACTCCACCAAGTTAGCCAAATCTCTATCCCTGTGATGTAACACTGTTTCTTTAAGAGTATACGTGGTATAGATGAGAGATGATGTATCAAGGGATGCCCAGCTATATGCAGTCTGAGTGAGTGTCATGAACACCTTTCAGATTCACCTAAGAAAGAATTACTTATCACTTGTCAGGAGTGGAAACCGTATAGGGTGTATAATATAATAATAGGGGGGCTAATTCACTGGTTATGAATCTAGAAATGTGGGTAATTGTGCACAAACTCGTGTAATTATGCACGAACTCGTCTGCTAAATTGTAAACTGTCTGCTGCTTAAAGGAAGCCCTCTTAGTGTGACCTAATAGTAATTGTCTGCATGGAAGATGTACCGTATATTAGAGTGAAAATAAAAAAAAATGAAAACAGCCATTCCGAAATCCAATATCAAGTAGACTGTTTAGCAGGTTTAACATACTACCTATCTACTAACATATTTTCTACACTCTTTCCATCACACCTTCTTTCACTCTCTTCTCACATTTTAAAGGGATTCTCCAATGCCAGGAAAACAAAGCTGTTTTTCCTGGCATTGTAGAATCCTGGAGTGCCCTCCTGCCCTCCATCCCATGTCGCTGAAGGGGTTAAAACCCCTTCAGCCACTTAATTGAATCCAGCACGATGTCCCTCTGCGCTGGGTCAGGCTCCCGGAAGCTCCCCATGTTTTACATTGCTGCACTAAGTGAAAAAGGGTCACAGCACCCAGAATACTTCAATTAGCTGGAGTGGTCTGGGTGCCTACAGTGTCCCTTTAAGGATTTAGTTTGTTTTGGTTCTCATATACCTTTTAATAAAGTTGTATTTATTATTAGTTTATTTTTGGCTATTACCTTAGAATGATTTAAATGTGAGGTAATTTCAGTGGGGTTGGTTCTGATCTCTTGTAGTTGGGTTACTTCTCTTACAAGTTTTATTTCACATGCATTAAGCTATTCGTCACTTTCAATGTGTGTGTGTATGTGTGTATGTATGTATATATATGTGTGTGTATATGTGTGTATATATATATGTGTGTGTGTGTATATAAATAAAAGGGAAAAAATGCTCCTTTACTTTCCAACAAAGTTTACCATTACTGTCAGCTGACCAGTTACTGTGACATTAGAGCAACTTTCACACTCTTAATTTTTTGGTCAATGTTTAATAAGGAGGAGAACAAAAAAGCAAACAAACTCTGAATTCTTCCCCCCCCCCCCCACCACCCCGCTTTCTTTCTAAAATTACTCAGTTAACAATATTACACTATTACATAATATTAGAGGTTTTTTTTTTAAAATATTTCTTTTTCTTAAATTGGTTGGTTGCAGTCTTTTCTCAAGGGTGAAAACGGGAAAGAAAATGTGAAAAAAAGAATAGAGTGGCAGAGATTATTTTGACACACTATACAAAAGGCACTAAAATAAAAAGGGCACATGCACAGATGCTGCTGAATACTTAAAAAAACAAACAAAAAAAACACGTTTTCTTTTCCTCTACCGTAGTGAATTCATAACACTATAGTGTCCTCTGGTTCCTCTTCCCCATACCCCCTGGCATGTAAAGTTTAAAAAAAAAAAAAAAAAATTACTTTTTTTTTAAACCAATGTGTCTCGGCACTGGGTCGGCGCTCCGCTCCTATGGGTATTTCACTAACACTGGACATCCTCATGCAGAGTGTGAGGACATCCAGCCACTAGAGACAGTCTTAGTCCTGCAAGGTAATCATTGCAGTTTCTCTAAAACTGCAATTATTTACATTGCAGGACTAAGTGGGATAGGGACCCTGCACCCAGACTGCTTCAATGAGATGAAGTGGTCTGGGTGACTATAGTGTCCCTTTAAGTTTTTCAGACTTCACAAACATGTTTGCTGAAAGGAACACTCTAGCATTAGGAATAAAAACCCATTCCTAATGCAATTATTATTTTCACACATGGTTTCTTATTTTGGCTTTATTTTTGTTAAATAAATCATGACACAGTGTAATATATTGTTGTTCATCTGAGGTTTTATTTACCTAATTTACGTGTGTATGTATAATATTTTTATTTTATTGTGGAGTATTTGCTACTATGCCTGTCATCACTATAAAAATTTTAATTTGTTTAATAAATTTCTTTCAGGTCAACGAGAAGTTTGCTATTAATTTGATAGCGGAACAACCAGTGAATGAAGCTGACGATAGAATAGTATCTTGTGATGGAGGAGGTGGCGCTTTGGGACATCCTAGGGTTTATATTAACTTGGCAAGTATATAAAATAATTTCACCATTTGGTCTCTGGTTAAGAATGTAATGCTACAATTCAAAATGTTACAGAAAGTGAACTAATCAAATGTTTAGTTCTCTACATGGAATGTTGTATATAATACATATAGTCACAATGGGGAGTTCAATTATACTTTTGTCATGGGTATATTGAAGGGATAATCCTGGGTGTAAGTTTATCAGAAGGGTTGCCCTGACACAAATGTAAAACTTAACATTTAATCACTCTATTAAAAGACATATTTTTGAAAAAGGAACAAAACGAAAAAGTAAAAAAAAAAAAAAAAAGTTATGTCAATCCAGCCAAACTGGGGAAATTCTCCAAGTCAGTTGTGCTTTCAGATTGGCTACTGTGGCCTTAAATTTGAAACCCACCCCAAATTCACTCTAGATTTAAAAAAAAATAAAAATGTATTTTTACACAAATTAATACAGTCAACAAAACAAAGTGGGGGAAAAAAATAGTGAATAAAAGAAAGTATGTACAGATTGTTAACTGCCAGGAAGAGCTGCATATATAGTCTCAATGTACTGCACTGTGCCTTCGAGGGCACCTAATGTCAATAGGTACTATATTCAGACAAAAATGCACACCTCACCACAGTCTGATCTGTTATACCAGTTCCACTTCAGGAGAAACAGAGTGGCCTGACTCAGAAAGTAAGTCCTCCTCTCAGAAAAAGAATACTCAATCACAGTATAGACCATCATCATAGAGAACACTGACTAGTAGAAGTATTTAAAAAAAAAAAACAGACAAAACCGTATCCTTTCTTGACACCCCAGTACAAACCGCTATAGACAATTCTGCTCTTCCAACTACCTCTTCAACTTTTTTAGAACAGGGTTTTTAATGCCAACAGCAAGCACGATTGAGAGATCAAGGAAAATGGGCTTTAAACCAAACTAAAGAATGCAGAGATACTAATTCCTAATAAAGTGGTGAATTTGTCAAAATTTAAATAACTAGCTAGACGTGTATATATTACTACTTAATAAAAGCCTATCATTTGTACCAACACCAACTTTGGATAGGTTTGAGGTGGTCCAAAGATATTCATCTATTTAGAAGAAAACTAGCTCTAAAAGTTATTCATAAAAAAAAAAACAGGACCTTAAAAAAGCCAATGATCTCAGTCTATCTGTTGAAGATTATACACATGGAAAAAACCTAATAGCCCTTCTGGATGAACATGATACCTCTAAACCACTGACTGATTTTTAGACCAAAAAGCTGGTATACTCCAAACTTTCAAGAGGTTACACATGTGGACCTGTTCATCCAATTCAACACAGATGGAAAATAATTAACCAACATGCAATACCATCAAGAACATAATCTTACTATATGAGTGAGATTAGCCTTACATGAACTCGCACAACTACAAGACATCATAATTAATCCCACCAACGAGGGCCGTAATATAGTCCTTCTACAACGAGAAAAATACATCAACATGTGTATGGAACATTTGAAAGATTCAAACTGTTACCAACTTTTGAACTCCGACCCAACCACCACCTTCCTGCAAGAACTAAAGGAATTACTTACCAAGGCCCATAATAGCATCATCCTCTCTCAACAAGAGTACAAGTTCCTGTTACCAAATCACAATCCAACTACAGATGCTCCTCACTTAGCGTCCGGGTTCCGTTCTTACGACCCAGTCGTAAAGGGAATTGGTCAATAAGTGAGGCGCATGTGCACCAGTACAGGTCTATGCTCAGGAATATTTTCCTGAACATAGATTAGAGGGATTCACTGCTCTGGTGCGCCTGTCTATGTTTGGGGTAATTTCCCCGAACATAGATCAGCTCTCTAATGTGGGGAAGCCCTCGAATCCTCACGCTAGAGAGCTGGTCGCAAAGTGTATAGCAACTTTTTACTGTCTTCCTAAGATCCCCAAAGACCTCACAGATCCCTCAGGAAGACCCATAATTTCTGGTAAAAAATGTCTTGCTGAAAGACCAAGTATATTTGATAGACAAGATCTTACATCGTATAGTTAGACAGCTTCCATCTTACCTCAAGGACATTGCACTTGAATATTTACAAGTCCCTCCTTATACATTATTAGGCAGCTGTGATGTGGTATCTCTTTATAGCAATAAACCACATGACAAAAGTTATTAAAGCATGTATATTGTTCCTAAACCAAACTGAATACAATGAACACCAAAAGAGTTCATCCTAACCCTACTTCATTTTATCTTCTCACACAATTATTTCATTTTCAATGGAAAATTTTACTTACAAACAGGAAATGCCATGGGCATGGTTTGCGTCCCTAGTTATGCTAACCTATTTTTAGGTTGCTGGAAGCAGTGTGTTGTCAATGTTCTACCACATAATCAGTACCAACAATGAATTTTGAAATGTTACCGGTATATAGATGACATACTGCTCCTGTGGACTGGATCGATTCCATGTTTTGATCAACTAGTGGAATTTCTCAATGACAACAACTTAAATCTCAAACTGCCCATTTAATTATTGAGGAATCCATGGTCCTCCTGTACCTGAAGATATCGCTACTGGAAGATGGAACTATACATACTAAATTACACAGAAGATCTACATCCACAAACAATATTTTACACTGGAAGAGTCACCATCCATTCCATTTGAAAGCCTTAATTCCATATGGCCAATATCTTCACGCAAGTAGGAATTGTTCAGAAGATGAAAAATTCCTCCAAGAATGCACAATTCTAAGCTCTCAGTTTAGGGCTCTTGGATTTCCCAATAGAGTCCTAAAGCGAACATACCAACAAACAAGCCTCAAAAATAGATCTGAAAGTTTGAGAGCTAAAAAAACAAAAAATGATCAACCACACACTAGATGCATAGCCACCTACAACACTGGATGGACTAAGGTGTCAGAAATCATGAAAAATAATTGACCTATGCTCATGCAGAACCGCGATCTACAACAATGGTTGCCAAAATATCCATCATTGTCCGTACGCAAAGCAAAAAACTTGAAGGACCTATTAGTACATAGCCATCTAGACTCAGAAGGAAATTTTTTTTTTTTTACATGGCATAACAGCACAAAGGCCACATATAGATGTTTCCACTGTAAGACCTGTCAACATCTAAAACCATCTACACTTATTGTCCAATTACTGGGTTAAAAATACACAAATCCCCCTAATCAATTGCAACACCAGTAAATTGATCTACTTGATCACCTGCACCTGTGGCAAACCCTTCTGATCTGAGTTTCCAAGCAATAGAAAAATTGCAACCAAACTCCAGAAAAGGGGATTTCAATCTATACCTGCTTCAGAAAGAAGCACAATGGATTTTCAAGTTTAAAACTCTTGCTCCCCAGGGACTGAATGACTTGTAAGACGTATATTGTAACCTTATTGCATCCAAGTATATATATTTTTTTATATTTTCATTCTATGGATACCACAATGACTACTATTTGTCTGTCCCTTCATCCATATTATTGGACCTAATACTAATTAATGACACTTCTGTTCTATAGCAGTTTAGCAAAATTGTCATGAACCTACCTGTTTGATTTCACTTGGCTAAGGCTTTGTGGACTGCTCTCATTGGCTAAGATGTTATATGGCTAACCCTCTGAGGGTATTTGTTTTTCTATGAATATCTTAATATCCTTTTTTTTGCTGCTGAGAGAGAGCATAATATGAGCCTCTGTGTCCTTTAATAAAATCATGATTATCTTTCCTTTTATGGAGACAGAGCTCTACTGTGTTGATAACGTTAGACCAGCACTTACACATGTATAAGTCTTACTAACCAAATAGCACTACACAATTAATAGTAGTTTCTTAATATTTGTTATCCCGTGCCGTCTTGATCGGTACAAAAAAATTAATTCATGACACTAATCTTGCCATTTTTTTGATAACATTCATTGGACAATCTGTAAGAAGGTATGCCAATTTTTCTTCTTGGAGCCTCAGATTGGCTAGGAAAGCTGCCAGTCATCATGAGACACTCTGATTGGCTGAATCCAATGAACCTATCAGGTTTTTTTGCCCGGTATATAATTCCTTCCTGAGATTTTTCATTTCCCCTTGAAGAGCCTGCTTGGTGAAACATACGTCGGGGCTAGCTTAGGTGGTTATCTCTTCAGCACCATATATCGCTTATGTGTTTGGGAATCCCTCAAACAAACAAGTATAGTCTGATCCGTAATGGGTTATGACTCTGCAATCATGCATAGCGGATTTAACACTGAGCCGTATTCTTAACCCCAGCTAGATCTGTTAGCAGAATAGTTAATTAATTTTGAATGATAATAGGTGCCCTCAAAGGCACAGTGCAGTACATTGAGACTATGTTTGCAGGGTATTTGAAAATACTACTACTCTGTGTTCTCTGTGCTGATGGTCTATACCAGGGGTCCTCAAACTTTTTAAACAGGGGCCCAGTTCACTGTCCCTCAGACACTACTGGGGGCTGGACTATAGTTTGAAAAAAATATGAACAAATTCCTATGTACACTGCACATATTTTAATTGCAGTGCACAAAAAACAGGAAAAACAATGCAATATTTAAAATAAAGAACAATTTTAGTCAACATAAACGTATATTTCAATGGGAAGTATGGGCCTGCTTTTGGTCCATGAGATGGTCCATATCCGGTTCCATATTTGTCACTGCTAGTCGTAGCAAGTGATGCAAGTGTTCATCAGTTAGTCTGGATCTGGTTGGAGATTTCAGATGTTTCATTTGGGAAAAAGTCTGTTCATAGACAGGTGCTGCCAAAGATGGTTGCAATTTTGAGTGCATGGTTCCTGAGATTAAGAGATGTCTCAGAGGCTCAGAAATTAGTAAGGCTGCTTGATTTGAATGCTTCTTTCAGAGAGTCACAATTCTGTAGTTCAGCCAATTCCATTTGGTAAATTGCATCAACAATTGAAATGCCAACAGAAAATGGGTTCCGTAAAAGCTGTATGTCCTGTTCATGGAGATGAAGCTCTTTAAATCTAATTTGAAACTCCTTTTGCAACATTTCTAGTACATCCATACATGCTTTGGTTTTTCCTCCAACAGGTTTTGATTGGGAGATGGCAGAAGTTTTCCTCCTTCACTTGTTTAAAGGACCACTCTAGGCACCCAGACCACTTCAGCTTAATGAAGTGGTCTGGGTGCCAGGTCCAGCTAGGGTTCAGAGAAACTGCTATGTTTATGAATGGGTTAAGCCTTCCCCCTATTCCTCTAGTGGCTGTCTCATTGACAGCCGCTAGAGGCGCTTGCGTGCTTCTCACTGTGATTTTCACAGTGAGAGCACGCAAGCATCCATAGGAAAGCATTATGAATGCTTTCCTATGTGACCGGCTGAATGCGCGCGCAGCTCTTGCCGCGCGTGCACATTCAGCCGACGGGGCGGAGAGGAGGCAGAGAGCTCCCCGCCCAGCGCTGGAAAAAGTAAGTTTTACCCCCTTTCCCCTTTCCAGAGCCGGGCGGGAGGGGGTCCCTGAGGGTGGGGGCACCCTCAGGGCACTATAGTGCCAGGAAACAGAGTATGTTTTCCTGACACTATAGTGGTCCTTTAATTAGGCGATCTAATTTTACTTGAAATGCTTTCACATGTGAATACATATCACAGATGAGCTTCCCCTTTCCTTGAAGTTGAACATTACAACTGTTGAGTAGCTCTGTTACATCTGTCAGAAAGGCAAGGTGCCATTTCCATTCTGCATTTTTGAGCTCTGGTACTTCTTTTGTTTTTCGAAAGCAGAAAGCTGTGGAAGTAAGTCCTAAAAACGTTTCAAAACTCTCCCTCGACTCAGCCAACGGACTTCTGTGTGGTACAGAATATCTTCATAGGCAACATTTAGCTCAGACAGAAATTCCTGAAACTGTCTGTGGTTTAGTGCATGAGCTCTAATGACGTTAACAGAAGATACCACAATTTTCATGACAGTCCAACTTCAATGATTTACAACACAGTGCTTGTTGGTGGATGAGGCAGTGTTTGGCTATTGGATGTTAATGGTTGTGTTTGTCCATCTCTTTAATACGTGCAACCACTCCTTTCATAGACCCCACCATGCTAGGAGCACCATCAGTTGTCACACTTGCTAGTTTAGCCCAGTCCAGCTCCAAATCATTCATAGTTTGGCAAACTTTTTCATAGATATCCTCTCCTGTTGTTGTTCCTTTGATGCTTTTCAGTGCAGCAAGCTCCTCTGCGACTTTGAAATAATAAATTTTGTCCCACAAATGAAAATAAAGGAATGGAACATATCGGCTATGAAGAAAGGTTAACAAATTTAAACCTATTTAGTTTAGAAAAACGTCACCTGAGAGGGGATATGATAACATTATACAAATATATTCAGGGCCAATACAAACCATTGTGTGGAAATCTATTCACAAACCGGACTTTACATAGGACACGAGGCCATGCGTTTAGACTGGAAGAAAGAAGATTTCGTCTAAGGCAAAGGAAAGGTTTTTTTACTGTAAGAACAATCAGGATGTGGAATTCTCTGCCTGAAGAAGTGGTTTTATCAGAGTCCATACAGATGTTCAAACAGCTACTAGATGCATACTTGCAAAAACAGAATATTCAAGGATATAATCTTTCAATGTAGGGTAATAACTGCTTGATCCAAGGATAAATCTGACTGCCATTCTGGGGTCAAGAAGGAATTTTTTTCCTAGCTTGTTGCAAAATTATGCTTCAGTTTTTTTGTATAATTTTGCCTTCTTTTGGATCAACAGCAAAAAACAAATGTGAGGTAGGCTGAACTTGATGGACGCAAGTCTCTTTTCAGCTATGTAACTATGAGCATCATTGCTTTCGTCGAGTGCCAAAAAATAGCAAAGTGGTTTTTTTTGTTTTGTTTTTTTGTTTTTTTGAGGAGTTTTGCAGATACAAATTTGCACCCATTTCTTCAATCCTTTGTGTAATTGTAGGTCCTGAAAGACTCACTGTACTAAATAAATCAGCCTTCTCTGGACACATCTCTTTGGCAACAGAAATAAGGCATTCTTTAATGAATTCTCCCTCTACGAATGGTCTGCCAGTGCACGCTATGAGCTTGGCAACTTGAAAACTTGCTCGCAATGATATATTTAGCTGCTTTTGCTTCACCAAAGTATTTTGCCGAGTTGTCAATCCATTTTTTAGTTTTAATATTTTATCTTTTCTCACTTGTCCGACCAAACAATAATTTATCTTTATGTAGTGTCGACGCAAATTGTATTCCTTGAACACAGACACTAAATTCTGGCATATCAGACAAACCGCTCTTTTTGTTCTGCGTTAAAAAGTAATCGTAAGCCCACAGTTCTTTGAATACTCTGTATTTAGTAAAATACCAATAAATACAGAGCTTAAACTAAAATAAAAATATCAGCGCTCAGCAATAGTGCAAATGGTCGGCGTTCAGCAGTAACTCAAATGGTCAGTGCTCAGCAGTAACGCAAAAGCTCACACTCACTCACTCACTCACTCACACACACACACACACACACACACACACACACGCTCACTCACACACACAAGCTTATTCACTAGCAGATCAACTTGAATATATAGAACCCTCCCAATAGAAGATGCCCTAAGTGAGTGTATCTCTGACGAGATGGTGATTGCCATACATGTGTAATAACCCCCCATTTCTTCCCAATTGGACCCATATTATTTTAATGGTATTAGCTTGGTGACCCATTTTTTAATTATGTTTAGCAGCTCATTTTTTAAGGATAATTCCCATTTTGTTTCTGTTGCCTTGGGAGATTAGTGCTGCAACGTTAAACAACTTATTTTCTATTCTAAAGATCAGTACTCATTTTGTAATTGTTCTCTGTTTAAAGGATGTTAAAAGTGCATGGTTTTTAATATCGCAAAGGTCTGATGTGCTTTTTTTTTTTTTTTTTAAATAAGGGCATGTAGGCAACATATTAAAATGAAGATAAGTTACCTGCGCTATTCCCAAATCCCTATATATATTTAAACAAATGGAGGTTATTTAGTTACTCCAGCGGCCATGAAATGGAATGCCCGCCTGCCACGTTACAATGCTTCTGCCCATCCCATGTGTTCCCTATTAAGGGGTGTGTATATATAAATATAGCCCTCTCTGTCTCATTAGAGATATCTTTGCCAAAATCTTAAGGAAGTAAGGTAAATGGTTAGTGTAGGGACCCACCTAAGAGGTTTGCCTTGATGTGGCAGGTGGGCATTCCCTCTAATGGCCATTGCAGTAACTAAATAACCCCTATTTGTTTAAATATACATAGGGATTTGGGAAGACGGCAGGTCACTTTTTTTTCCCTTTGGTTTTTAATGTATGTTTTGGGGCTGATGTGTACTATGGTCGTTGCTGCCGCCCAAGAGTAGTGGGAGTTTGAGCGCAGGACTTGTTTTTATTTTTTGTAAACATATTAAAATGAGTTTCTTTCAGTACATATCTGAATACTGTTTCTCTTCTTGCAGGACAAAGAAACAAAAACAGGAACCTGTGGATACTGTGGACTACAGTTTAAACAGAAGCATCATCACTAATATGTCCATAATCTCTTTTGTTTAATCCCTCTCCAATAAATATATATTACTGAACAGAACAGGTCCTCTGGCCTTACTGGTTTGCACAACCGATGTGTCTTGTTTTGTCATTTTCATTTTTTATTATTTTTTACAATAGTAAGCACTTAATATGTTTTGGTATGTTCCAAAATAAGATTGTATATACTGCTAATCGTTTAAAGTAACTTTGCTATGAAATGGTAATTATGTGAAAAGGTTTACAAAAAAGTAGCTCTTGATTAACCTTTAAAATCTCATTCCATGATAAATTACTCATCATATACATTTAAAGGATTAAATTAAAGGAACACTATATGGTCAGGAACACAAACCTGTATTCTTGACCCTATAGTGTTAAAAGAACCATTTGGCTCCTCCTTGCCACCCTAAATATAGTAAAATCTTACTTTTATTCCAGTCTGCTGCTGCCGGCTCTGCCATTGATCTGTCTGCCTGACCTTCCATCATAAGTGATGATCAAAAGCCAATCACAATGCTTTCCCATTGGGAAAACAATGGATTGGCTGAGTCTGTCAATGAGGCAGATAGGGGACATAGCCAGCACAAGCCAAACACAGCCTTGGTCAATCAGCATCTCCTCATAGAGATGCATTGAATCAAATAGTTTTCAGCATTTTTAGCATGTTTGTTAACTCTCTCACTATACCATATTCAGTAAGTGTGATTTTGCTTTTGTTTTTTTGTGTCAAATATTGAATAATATCTGTCACATTATTTTACTTTTATTCACCATTATCTTTGGAGTGATAGGAACTCATTAATATTCTGATGTATTCTTTGTAGGGCTTAGGCCCTGTACTTGGAATCTCTGGTTTTAGTCGTATTGTGACCATGATTTCCAGACCCCTTTAGTCCCACCACTTTTGTCTTTTCTGTATCGAACTTTTGTTGTTTTGTTTTAGTTTTTTTCTTTAGGTGTGGGGAGGGGGTGTATTTGTCAGCTGACACTCTCAGCCAATCAGTTACTCCCCATTTCTAGAACTGCATTATGGACATCTCTATATCTTACTAACAACCTGAGAACTAAATTGCTAACCCCCCTTTTCTCTCACCAAGCTACCTTTGATCAATATGTGGCATTAAACTACTCTGTACTTTTTAGATCATCTGGTCATATTGAATTGAAAATCATACACATGTTTTAACATCTTTATCCGTTTTAGGAATGAACTGTATATAACTTGTTCACAACTTATCACACACAGAAGTGCTTTAATAGGATACAAAAAAAAGCCAAAATTGTTACATTAGAGGAAATTTGCCATAATGGTAAAACTAAAAGGCAACTTCTAACAGTACACAGCATGCAATATTTCAGCTTAATCTAACATTCAATTAAAACAAAAGGTTTTCAAATCTCACTGTTATATTTAACCTAATTGATAAAATGTAACAATTCCACCTGACACCAGTGAATTGTGAAAAATATCTAAAATAACTTAACTTATAGATACAGCCTCCCAGATGGTAACCAACCAAAATAGATATATACACAAAAAATGTACGGATCCCGCTAATGTACCTTAATACAAACATAGTAAAGTATTGCTTGAAACAAAGAAAGAGACAGGTTTTGCATTTCACCCAAATTTAAGATTATTAAAATGATTTAGTGATGCCATCCTTGATGTCAAAACTCCACTTTCGTGCTTGCCACAGAACAGACTGACAGGTTCTCCAAAAACTTAATCCAGAGGTATTTTCCAAAAGGATATTATTGGCATTTAAATTTTAAAAAAGAGATGAAGACCACTATGATATGCTGCTATTAAAGGGACACTATAGTTACCAAAACAACTACAGCTTATTGAATTTGTTCTGGTGTGTAGAATCATTACCTTCAGGCTTTTTGCTGTAAACACTGCCTTTTCAGAGAAAACACAGTGTTTACATTACAGCCTAGTGATAACTTCACTGGCCACTCCTCAAATGGTTGTTAGAGATCCTTCCTGAGTTATGGCTGCCTAAAATGCATCCAACTATTCAGTATCTCCTCCCACTGCATGCAGACACTGAACTTTCCTCATAGAGATTCATTGATTCAATTCATCTCTATGAGCAGATGCTGATTGGCCAGGGCTGTGTTTGAATTGTGCTGGCTCTGCCTCTGATCTGCCTCTCTCAGCCAATCCTATGGGGAAGCACTGTGATTGGATCAGGCTACCACTTCTGATGATGTCAGCAGACTGCTTGGTTTTTTTTGAGGCAAACAGCATGCAGAGTTACAGCTTCAGGCTTGAATACAGTAAGATTTTGCTATATTTATGGAGGCATAAGGGCCCAGGGGGGCTAGATTGTGGTTTTAACACAATAGGGTCAGGAATACATGTTTGTGTTCCTGACCCTTTAGTGATCTGCTATTATTTTGTTTTAATAGTAATAACGGCACACTGTAAAAGCCTTCTGTAATTAGTAATGGACAGTAAAGTTGTTATTGGAGCTTTGTGTTCAAAAATGTATGGGCAAACCCACATCTGTCACTATGAGTGAGCTTTATGAGCCACACCCCCCAAATCCTTCAGGCAATGTACAAATCAGCAAAGTAGCTGCCCAGTGTCAATCAAGAACTAATATTACAAATTCCCTCTACACACTTCTACCCCATCCACCTGCTTACTGCAATTTTGGGTCTGATTCCAAACACAAAGGCAACTTAATATACTCGCGAGAGCTGTGTCAGTGTATGGAACTAAGGTCATGTATTAAGATCAGCTGCCTAAATGATGTTGAACAACAACTACACCTTATCCTTTTATGTTGATAAAATGAGGATGTAACATACCTTTTAAAGCTTCAAGGTGTTCTCTACTCCGCCTAATAACCCCACCTTAAGAATGTGGGTAAGGCACGGCAGAATAGTTCTGCTCCTGTTACTCTTGTTTTGTTCCATATGATACATGGCAGTACTCAAATTAGTATTTGCCTCTTCGACTCTATCAGAGAGGTAGCCCATGAACGACAGACTTCACAAGGTTATGTTTCACATTCATAGATACATAACTAATATTAGACATGCTTCCATCAAGTGCAGCCTTTCTCATATCTGTTTTTATTGCTGTTCCAAAAGAAGGCAAACGTCTCTGATTGAATCACTTTTAATTTTGCCTTGAGAGGGCGCTTTGACCTTGAAGTAGCTCAGGCCTACTCAGGTGGTGAGTGGAGTGACTGGCCACCACCCCACTAGCCTGCCCAGTGATGAACCACCATACCTATGGCCGGCCTCATTTAACCCCCCCCTTTGGACCGGTGGGGGTGATTCCGGTCCTCATCCTGGGGTCTCTATTACAACTCAAAGTGGCTGCTTTAACCCTGAGGTGAACAATAGGATAATCTAAAATGGCAGAGGCCTCATGTTAAGCAGGTTGCTGCAGGAGCCAAGCTTCACTTACCTGCACCAGCGATAAAATCTTTGCTGCATTCTGGGGCAAGCTAGAGTGACACCCGCAACTGCGTACTAACCAGTGGAAGAGTGATTAAAACCCCCTGACTTTACCGCCCAGGATTCGGCGAGAATCATCTGCCTTAATTATGAGTTGGGCACGTGCTGGGCAAAGCAATGGGAGAAAGTGGCTACAAGACGAAGCCCGCCAGGAAGTCGAAACTCTTGCAGAGTGGATCATACACTTCCACAGTAAGTAAGCACACGGCAGGAGAATCCATCACTATTATTGGGTTTGTCTTGACATTACGCCTGGATGCTGTACATGTTGCTATAGCAGTCAGGGAGCACGTAGGCATCCAGACTGAACCAGTTGAACAGTGACTCCTGCTGCTGCATAGATATCTGTCCTGGCTTACTGCTGTCTTGATATTAAGCTTCTAGTTGCCCTTTTCCATTCCTTATGATTTATTCTCTTTATGGGTTACTGGTTAGTCTCTCTAGACCGCCATTTCTTATAAATGATAAAGCCATACCTCGCCTTAGGCATCAGCACTAGGGTCCCCTGGATGACAATATATCTTTCCCTCAGTTATTCTATCCAGCCCTCTGTTATAGCTTGTAGCTTTGCAGTCCTACATAAGGCAGAGGAAATATATGTTTGAGCTTCACTTACTACCACTCTATGGCATGTTAAGTTCCTTTGGCAGTACGTTAGTAATCTTTGCATCAATTAATCTGAGGTTATTTACCCTACCTATATTTTGTTGTCTCAAAAAAATTAGGTGATGTCAGCTCGACATTATTACCAAAACTATGTTTATTGTCAGAACTTGCATTTATGTCTTTGGAAACTGCATTGTCAATCATCACCTGCAAAAAAAAAAGAATATATATATATATATATATATATATATATAATTACAAAATATTTACACAGGAAAGTGGGCACTTGTAGGTCTTAATTAGTAGAAAAGTTAGTCGATTTTATTTGTGTAGCGTCAACATTTCGGACCTGATATATATAATCCCTGAATATTATGTTTTTGCAAGTATTCAATTGCTTTTTAAACATCTGTACCGACTGATAAAATCACCTCTTCCAGTAGAGAATTCCACATCCTTATCATTCTTACTGTAAAAAATAAATAAATCCTTTTCCTTAGACTAAATCTTTTTTTCCAGTCTAAATGCATATCATAGTGTCAAATGTATAGTCCTGTTTATGAATAGATTTCCAGACAATGGTTTGTATTGGCCCCAAATATGATGCTATCATTACCATTTTGCTAGACTAAAGAGATTTACATTTGTTAACCTTTCTTCATAGCTAAAATGTTACATTTCTTTTATAATTATGTAGCCCAGCTCCGCACTTTTTCTAGTGCCATAATATCCTCCTTTAGAACAAGTGTCCAAAATTGCATAGCATACTCAAGGTGTGGCCCTACCAGTGATTTATAACGAGGCAAAATTATATTTTCAACCAAGGAATTAATTCCCATATTTATAAATGAAAAATATATATATCTTACTGGCCTTAGCAACTGCTGATTGACATTGCACATTTTTGCCTAGTTTGTTGTCTGTAACAATTTTCAAATCCTTCTTGTGTGTTGTTATCCCTAATTCACTACAATTTAGGATATAAGTAGTTTCTGCATTCTTTACCCAGAAGTGCATAACTTTGCATTTTTCTATATTAAATTTAATCTGCCATTTG